CAGTAAAACCAAAAATTGACGGCAGCATCTAGAAGTGTTGAATAAATAAATAAACAACAATAATGATGATAATTGAAATTCGATGACCAGATGCGTTTCAATGATGAAATAAGTGAATAATAACATTATATTTTTCATTGAAATCGTGAACCAATCTAAATTAAACCATCATTTGAAACCTCGTGTGTTATTACAGGTATGAGGGCTGATATCACTTCCCAGCATCACACCGTGGAAGGGTTATATCTTGAGGGACCTGAAAAGGAAGTTGGATTAGTGGGAACGTGACCACAGAGCCCAAGGGACAACTACTTGAGGTCGGTCACGCATGACCTTTCTATGGGAAGTTTCTGACGTGTTAGCTCCGTTCTTCAAATGGCATTACCGCCGGAGACGAAGTCCGTGAGGTAAGGTGAGGCTTGATATTTCTAGGATCGACCTTTCCTAACCCTTTCCTTCCTTCTGAGAAGGAAGCATCGCTGCAGATGCTGGTTGTCCGAGGGAAACACCTTACTGCTGTCACACCCCTCTACAGTCAGCAGTACGACTTCGCCCTCAGACCTTGAGTTGCTGCTTTTAGTCTTACCGTTCTCCAGTCGACCTGTCTGGCATGGTAGAACCTGCAGGAACATATGTTCCAGCCAATATAGCTCGGTTGGGTCATCACGATAAGCAATCCTGACCACCACGTCAATGTAGTAGCTATGGTCGGGATTTGAAACCTAGAAGTAGTGGATGAGCTTTTCGTCTTAGCACGAGATTTCCCAACAGTGCGTATCGATAATCCCACACGCAGGAGTCGGACCTATGACCTTCAGGCGTGCAGATTATCATTATAAAATCTTTGGTTCGTGAAAACGACCACTATATTAAACTGATTTATTTATCCTAGAAATAGTTTTCTTTTCTCAAAAGCGTTAGTCAAGTCACATAAACATTTTTTTGGAAAAGGATAACCATTGATCTTTTCAACAGTTTTTTGTTTTGGAAAAGAAATAAAACGAACACACAGAAAGTTATCATAAATTGGATGGCTTTGAACAAGTATGATAAGAATTAGGAAATTGGGATTATTTGAATAAGTGAAGAATATTAAACAATAAAATGATATTGTATAGAGGAGTTGCAATCAATGGTAAGTTCTTACAATGAAGAAATTATAAATTCTTATTGATGGAATGATAAACAATAAATGACTTGCTACATAACATTATAGATAAGTCAGCCAATTTGAAGAGTCAATCAATAAGATAAGAAATAATAATAGTAAGCATTTGGACATAGGAAATTAAACTCTGAAGGAATTAATGAACTCGAGAAACAGGATATTTGGAATAGTATTAAAACTTGAAATTAACTGTAGGACAAACTATGAATGCATGTGTATTATATTATCACCTACGGTCTTTAATTGAAGATAATGATCATGCCCACTAGTCATAGGAAACTGTAGTTTGAAAGTTATTAACTTCATGGATAAGTCCGATATCTTAGTTCGAGTACGGTTGGTCTTTACTTAATCTCTACTCAGTCAGTCAGTCAGCTACAACGTAGGACCAGGCACATATGTGCATCGATCCAAGTTGCCACATCTCATTAGCACAAGTTGTATATACATAATAATCTGAAGAAGAATAATATAGGCTTGAAATGGATTAGGATATTTGAAAACACACGCTATCTCACTAATAATACAAATGTTGATATATATAATATATAAAATGTTTACTCGTAGGAATGTACGTTGAAATTCTTCAGAAGGATGCCTGATACATAAATCAGCCAAATCTGTTAATATACCATGCTGTTTATTGGGAATAATGCTACATATCCCAAATTTATTACTTTTGCACAACTGAATAACAGTAAAAAAGGTTTTAATATCAACTGGTTTTACTAAACGTCGAATGACCGCTCGTAACACACGACTAGCTGTTTGATTTGACATAAGAACATCTGCTACTGTTACGGGATTTGAATCATTGCTATCCAAAGAGAGTGAACACTCTGATAAAATATGAGTGTTTAAAAATTTTGCAAAATTAGCCCCTGGCATAACCTCCACGAGAAGTTCAGCGAAGTAGGTGGCAACTGGGTGAGCATAAGAACCAAGATATCTGAAATGGGGGAAAAAGAGTGGTACCAGTAATCTAACGTGAAATACGTTCGCACATCACAACTGTATCCCTAGGACTGTCATCACATAGAATATCCTCAGACTACCAGATAAGTAATACTACCTCACTTTCTAGAGTGAAAAAAGTGGGGCGGAGTTTAGGCCCGTAAACAAGTAGTTGAATGTTGAACATTTTAATCACTAGGCCATAAACTTGCATGTAAGTACAGTTCCGTTAAAAGAAAAGTGTACGTTATATCTTTGTCAACGTACCAAGTGTTAATGTTCGCATTCTGAAATTGCACTTTACTACCTAAGAGAATTGTGATCAGTGATAGTGTAGTGCCTGTGCTTCGTTAACCAATCACCCTCGTAACCGTTATCATATAATCCTCAACGGTGTTTGAAATCAGAAGGCAAAGAGAAGCAGCGACTACAGTTTTATTAACAGATAACTCAGACCATAAAGCAGGGAGGCAGATGAACGAGTCAGCGAACCGAGAGTGTGTAGAGTGGAAATGTACATGTATATATATATAGGGAAATGAATGGATCATCGAACAATTAAGCAGCTAATAACAAAGCTGGCAGAATGAATATATGCGTAGACGGTAAACAATGTTCAAGCATACATATTTCATACAAGCACAATAATAATAAATGTACAATAAGTTGTTGTTGTCGTACGGATGACTTTGTCCTTTAAATAAGTTAACAAAAGGGCTTAACTGAGTTAAATGAGAACAAACTCAATTGCACATGAGTTGCTATAGTAGCCGTGAATAATAATAATAAATTATTAGTGTTGGCTGTAAATTTATTGAAAATACTACTGAAAATCTACAGGAAATACCATCTGAATAACACTGAAAGCATGCTTAAGGTTTCAGAATTCGCAATCAATCTATTTAGTTATGTTTGTTAATACGGCTTTTTAGAAGCACGACGAAGCCTCCAGAGGCTTTAAAGGAGCCGAAAAGATTGCACCCAATGAGGACTTGGTGGAGATTTCTAGAATATCAACGTGGCATGCAACGATTGGACGACAGAATAACTTGCTTCCTTGCGGATTATCTAGACTATAATGATGTTATAGCAAACGCTAATAACTATAAATACCCACATTTTTCCATGCATTTTTGATCCTTAACCAATAGTCACTTCCTTTGCTTCTTTCATGTCCTGATTTGCGACTGTAGGGTTATACACGTTCGAGTGCCGTTAGTTGTATATCGTATTCTGCCGTAATCACGTAGAGGACGTAACAATGCCGTGGACGAACACCACTTTAAAAGTCATAATACATCCTGCATACAACAGATAACTATTACTACTACCTGGCAAAACGATAGCCTTCGAAAGACCGGAAAAAGAAATGGATAACAAAGCTATTTACTACTGTTTCAGTGGAAATTTTTGGAAAAGACGGAACCAATCCTCCCTAATTGATAGGAATAAAAATAATAAGTGTTTTTACTAACCTTGTAATCAAATCGTCTTCTTGTAAATTCAAACTAAACAAACCAGAATACTTCATAACCTTTTTAAACTTTTTTGTAAATACATCAGGAAGACGAGCTGATGCGACAAGCAATAATACTTGAATAAATGGACAAAGGTGTTCGTTGACCACATGATCTAAATAGTATTAATTATAATATGGTCTTAACACTAAAAAACCTACTTTTCAATGCTTTCGTAAATAAGAACTCTTTACACAACTCATTAAGTGATTGAATATAATTTTCATCATACGGTGTGACAAGTTGAACAGCTGACTTATAAGTATCTTTGAAAAATGATATTATTAAGTTAGCAGTATACTTGTTTTCTTGTCCTTTTCTAAACGAACTCCAGCTAAAATTTGTGGATAAATGCGACATGTATGCGTTGCATGAGAATTGGTTATATAGACTGAAAGATTTTCTTTCATATGAGTACAGAAACTTTGTATATGATCAACAATCAATTCATCGGCGTTATATTCAGCTGTTTGACATTTAGACAATGCCTTGTGAAGCAAATGATATGCAAACTTGCTATTGATTAATCGACCCCAACCTTTGGATAGAATTTTTAGCAAGAGAGCAATACACTCCACGTTTGCATCTGTAATTAATTCTTCTAAACACCTGCATACTTGTGGATGTAGTGCTAATGACCAACCATCTTTTTGAAATGCCAAAAGCGTATTTAGTATAAAGTTGTCTAAAAGTATATAAAAGAAGTGCTTGAAACCAAAATCTATTTGTTATAGATGCGAAAATATAAATAGTGCAGGTAGTACATGCGAAAACCTACCCAGACAAATCTGAATACCTAATTGAACAAATGTCAATACTGACACTAGCAACCACCAACTCTCGCATTTTACTACATAAAAGTCAGCAACAATGCTGACCTTACGTAAAATTCATCTACAAATATCATGTTTGACGAACGGCACCATCGCTATGTCCTTTTCAGCGTTCGTTTTGTCAATCACAATGAGGAGTTTATATTCTCGGTACGTTTTTGCTCAGCTGAGCTCGATGTATAATGTAACATCGTTGCCACACAACCCACGTGAAGAAATATTTATAAAAACGGCTGCCTTGTTAAGTATCGAGGTGACTAGTCTTTAATTTTGAACACACTTTAAAGCTAGTAATTAATGAATATATAAAAGCGACTTGGCAACAAATTGGATGAACCTTAAATAATTGAAATTTTTATCAAAAATACAATTTATAATCTTATGTAGACTTAGCAGAACTTACGTTTCTCTTCGATATCTGTTATAGACGACAAGCAATGCACGCGGTTCAAATAATACTTTATAGTGCTTCTTTCAACATGTACTCGTTCCATCAGTTCGGTAAATTCTTAATGCCTTCTGTTTATACTATCTGGAAGGCCTCTTTTCCAAAATTAAAATAGAGAAAACAGTCCTAGAAAAAATAAAGACAATGGGAACACATGACCAACTGTCCTCTTAATTTAACTCATTAGAGCCTAATACTAGTCTTTACTCCCAACCAAGAGTCATGGAATTATCATTTCAATAAACATGCCGATCCCTTTATTTTGTCTGACATTAGTTTTCAAGAGTTGTCCAGAAAGCTACTCAGGTATAAGACTTTATCGCGGTAGGTCGACAAGTCACGTCTATTATTATTTAAGCACATTCGTTAAGGGAGGCACCGAATATATGTGCGCCATACTTCATCATTAGATTTGTTTGACGGTTGGAGTACTGCCCGGGCGCCCAAGCTGAAGCAGGTGGTTTACTCAGGGTGCCAGTGCCCGAGCCTTTGACCTTAAGGTCCAATCCACAAGGCAGTGGAGCAAAGTTAGGAGATGCAATCCCATGGTAGCCAGTGACCGATAATTGGTTCATACGCCATTTGTTCCCTTAGGATCCTTGAGCTCATTTGGACTATTGGTTTGGTATCAGGGTTTACTAACTCCCCTGGGCGGACCCTCCATATACTTTAACCTGATTAAAGCACCAGACATTCGCTTTTTGTTCTGTAAACTTCGTAAAGAACACCTCCGGCGCGAGAAGTTAGTGAGTCAATTGTATACAATGTTTAAACCAGTACTTTGCGTCATATATGGTTGATCTAACGAGAAACTTAAAACAAAAGTGGTCTATATTTTACGATAGCTTAACAAATGATTAGTGAAGATACAACAGAACAGTAGTAGAGTATTTTTGCTCGTCGTTTGCTTCATATCGACCGAATGATATTAACACCAACAGAATGTAAATCATGTTTACTTGACAGACATTCTATCGATAAATCGCATTGACACAACGCAGATGACACGAGTCGAATGTGAATTGTATTTAGAATACTTATATTCCCGACATGTTAATGTTGAACGGCAGACAGATAATGGATATATTAGAGTTAACAACAAAGTGAGTCAATCTTTATGAACATCAAAGAAATACAGGAAGTGATTAGACGTATATATGTATAAAAAACGGTTAAGGTAATGCGCGAACAGTTGCAAACACAAAACATATGTGGGACAGAATAGATGAAAAAACTAGAATGATGCGTCCTTTCGAAAGTTAAAATAAATCATGTAAGCGTGAATAATGAGTATTGCTACACATTAGTATTCTTTTTCTTTGTAGATACCGTCGTCAGCAGAACCGTCTATGAGTATTGTCGTACGACATGTCATGAAATCTATGCTTATTTTTGTAAAAACTTTAGATAGTTTTTTATACGGTGTACATTAGTGACTGTTAGCTCGATCGAATACTAGGACCGAGTTTTATGACTTCTTGTACTTACATTCCAAAGTGAAAAGGTTTTGTATTTATGGGGTCGGAATAGGGTGGCTTAGATATCGACGGACAATCACTGAGTTCAAACCATATACTATTATTTCTCAGTTAATAAGACGGAAAGGATACACCTATAGGTGGTTACCTAGTTGCATTAAACCTCCCTAATCCTTGTACATTACACTAAGTTAACTTAGATTTGAAACTAAACAATTTGAATCAAGGAGATAGGCCCAGCCAAATATGTGGAATTTCAAACTCAAACAGCACTCAACAGTTCAAGATATTATTTATATTCATTAACCGTGGTCCAACTAGGATGTCTTAGTAAACTGGAAAATATTAGGACTATAGCCAATTTAGATCAAGTTTGTGGGTTGAAAGATTCGCAAAATGAAAATTAGTATGGTCAAAATCATGCTTACATATTTGAATGTAGTCAAAATAACTTTACTGAGATCATAAGTGGGGTAGCTCGATTCCTATTATCACCCAAACCCCCAAAGCATCTTTACAAATCTTTATATTGGCATATGTAGCATCCCAAATGTTACACTATAAAACAGCTAACAGGAGATAAAAAGCAATCGACCTGGACTGAGTACTGATTTATTCAGTTTACTCGGATTTTTTGTTCAAAACACTATTCATTACGGCTAAAGTAGGTTAATGGTTTTCTCAGAATCGATCACAATGGCGTAGGTGAATACACACTTTGTCACTCTTTAAACTATGAGATTAAGATCGCTTCACATTTTTCTACGAACTAATTCTTTCTTACTGTAATATACCTTGATATGCTATCATTCTTCTATGTATTAACATCATTAAATTCACTACTTCTATGAATCTGGTGTTCATTTTGTTGTGCTAATGAGGTATGGCAACTTTAGCCGATGCATATATGTGCTTGGTCCTACGTTATAGCTGACTGACTGACAAGTTTCATCGCCTCTTAAGTTAACCAGATTTTTCTGCAGAAGACCTGGTAATATTCACAAATCAAACCCTGACAAGCGTTTTGTAAGAAATATGTTGTACACCTCCTCAAGGATTGAGTGCTGATCAGTACATATCACTACCTCAACTTGTCTTCATGAAGATACAGAAGTAATAACGAAAGGTCTTACGGTGATATCTACTTTTTCTACTTGTAGTACCACGAAATTTTAATCTCAGTTCAAAAGTTCAGGGAACTGGCATAATCGGAAGCTTAATAATTGACATAAAACATACTCCACTCGGTAGCGTAAGAGCTGATAATACGCGGTTCAAATGGTTCAAATGGTTCAAATGGTTGTGGACGGAATAGAAGAAGCTTTCGCTTAACAGGCTTCCGTGTCTAGTAGCAGGGGATCACCAAATCCTCCAGGCAGGAACCTAGGTATGTTAACAATAAAAAAGGAAAAGAAATTGGTAAATCATAGTGCGATGCTGTCCTTGGTCCTTAAGAATAGGTCAAGTTGCCTCTTGAAGGACTCCTGAGAAGTCGCTTGGACTAGCTCGGCCGGCAGCGAATTCCAGCTTTTGACAACTCTTAAGGAGTAGAAGTTGTGTCTACATTCCGTCTTGCTATGTTGTGTTTCCAGTTTCTGGGTGTTACCCCTTAGGTTATTGTTCGAACTAAGCTTAAGTAGGTGTTTAAGAGGATGTCCAGAAGTGTTAAGAATACTATAAGCCATTAATAAATCACCTCTAAGACGCCTATATTCTAGTGGGTAAAGGTCTAGTGAACGGAGGCGTTCTTCGTAAGGCTTAGATTTGAGTCCTCGAACTGATTTCGTGGCTCGCCGTTGGATACGCTCCAAAGTGACCTTATCCTTTTGGAGTGAGGGGGGGGAGTATTATGTTTCCGTACTCTAAATGGGGACGGATGAAACTATTGAAGATTGTGTGGAAAGTTCTTCCGTCAAACTGACCAAAAATGCGCCTCAACGTTACCAGTGCAAGGTTTGCTCGGAAGGCATTTTTGTCACAGTTAGCGTAAGACTTTAAGTCATGGGGCACCAGGACTCCTAAATCTTTTTCGACTTGGGATACTACTAGAGAGGAGTTTCCTAAGTTGTAACTGTAGTTTGCGACATGTCGCAGATGGACTACTTTACACTTTGAAGTGTTAAAGGTAAGTCCGTTATCGTCTGCCCAACTATGAAGTCGAGTCAGATCCTCTTGAAGTGCCTGTATATCGTCTTGGTTGCGTATCTCTCTTCAAAGTTTCACGTCGTCGGCAAAAAGTAATAAGTCTGACGTTACCTGTTGAGGAAGATCATTTATGTAGATCAAGAAGAGAAGAGGCCCTAGTACTGAGCCCTGGGGGACCCCACTAGGACATTCCATAGCTTGAGATAAAGTGAAATTAACCCTAACCTTAAAGTGTCGATTTTTTAGGTATGAAGTAAGCCAGTCGATTAGAGGTGGTTTGATACCTAGTCGTTTGAGCTTGTTGATAAGACACAAATGGTTAACCTTATCAAAAGCTTTTGAGAAATCAAGGTAAATGACATCAACCTTTCCCTTGCGATCGAGGATGCTTGTCCATCTGTCCACCGCAGTCAGCAGGTTGGTTATACAAGAGTAACCCTTCCTGAAACCATGCTGTTGGGGTGAGAAGAAATTTAAGGACAGTAGGTAGTCATTTAAACCGTCGCATATCAGTCTTCAGTCTTCAGTCCTCAGTAATAAGGATAGGAGGTCTATTGACCTATATTAATCCTTGCAGTTTGTAATACTGTGAAGGTCCAATTCCGTTTTGAATATATTAACAGAAGGTGCTGATATTACATGTCCCAGTAGAGAATTTCAATAATTCACTACTCGGTGCGAGAAACGATTTTATCTCGGTTTTTGAACTTTCTTCGAATGTCCTCTCAAGTGATCAGTCCTGGACAAAAGTAAAAGATCAGACATGTTAATACCAAGGTTATCGATCAGTATACGATAAGCCAATATTAGATCACCCCTTATTCTACGGTAAGATAACGGAAATAAGTTGAGGCGTCTTATTCTGTCTTCATAAGATAGGTCAGATAGACCATGTACCATCTTAGTAGCTCGTCGTCGGACTCCTTCCAGCATCTCTGCTTCACACTTGAAACAAGGACTCGCTGCTTGTGTTATCAAGGACTACTGAAATATTCCGTTAAAGCTTCGACATTTTCGGTATCATTTCTTGCAAATATTAAAGAATTTTTTGTGTCAAAAGTTATGGAATTGCATCGTTTCTCTGATTTCGCCTTTTTGCATACGAGAATAGCCGTTTCGGACTATATCTAAAATCCCTAACCAATTGTTTTCATACGACTGTCTAGTCTTACTTGTTAGTGCTTTGCAAGCATTCCTAATCTTACAATAACTGGATCTGTATTGTTCTAAGCGAGTAGAGATGAATATATTCCAGTGCTTCTTCCTTTTTCTAAGAAGTTTCCTGTTATTCGGTCTACGTGGTACCAGGTATGGTATGAACGGGGACGTAACTAGTCTAAATTTACCTTTAAATACAGACCATACTTCTTCAACTGATACGCTAGTATCTACTAACCAATCTGTCTTAGCAGCGCATCCCTGCATGGCTGATATGTTAGCTCACCATACATTGGAGCGAGGCTTAACCTGATCGTATATCATATCACTAGCTGTAAACGTGAATGTCAAAACGACGTTATCGCTACTCACCAACAGTGGAAGAATATTTAGGTCGTCAATATCCTCAGTATCATGAGTGATTACCAAGTTCAACAGAGAAGAACCTTGGTTAGCACCAAAACGTGTGGGTTTGGATACTTGCTGCACTAGTGCACGCTCCAATATTTTTACCAGGAACCTACTATCAAAGAAGTTTATAGGTCCTTCTGTGGTCGTCTCAGTCCAATGAATATCAGGTGCATTAAAGTCTCCTATTATCAGGCATCTGTTATTTGCACTCCATAGCTGAATGTGCTCTAAGATAATGTCATCAGCTAACCAGATGTACCACATCCGATAGTGAGCTCATAGCCAATGACCTGACAAGTTCCACTATCATGGGATTCGCAAGCGCGGGAGTGGATATTTATATTACTGGCTATGTATAAAAAGACGCCACTTCCTTTCCTACATCAATGTTTATCACTACTTAGGTAGTGGTGTGAGGACAGTTCTGGAGTAATGTCTAAGTCATGGACTGACCAAGTTTCTGTCACTGCTACGATGAGTGGCCTTAATCTATCCACTAATGCTTCTAGTTCATAGAACTTATTTCTTAGACTACGAGCATTGGCATATAAAACTCCTAAGTAGAACGGCCTATCCACATAGGCCTTGATAGCGTTCGCTTCTAAGACCTGAATATCCGAAAGGATACTAATCGGAGATTCTCCTCACTGTTTTGCCGACGGGTTTCTAGTCCAGCTAGTGCCCTTTTCCTTTCTATTCTGTCCTCAAGAGACATATCAGGTCTAACTCCGATGTCGGAATTGTCGTGACTACGGGTTCTACTTATTAAAAGATCATGTTGCGTCTCCGATCCTAGGATTACTTTAAGGAGTTTATATAGTCTGTATTTGACACTGTCGTCGGTCCTCTTATCTGTGCTAACCAATTTCTTGACCTGAATTCCTTTAGAGTTATCTGGTAAAATACGACGAATATATTCTCCTAGCTTCTCCAAATCATGCGCACGTCCAATTTCGGGATCATGATGGTTTGACTCCAGGAAACTACCCACAATATTATTCGATGAGTTTGAATTCTTCCCAGTCACGACAGGGTGGAGTTAACTTTTACTATCAGAATTTGGTAGTGTAATTTGTGACTCAGAATGAGAGTTAGTCAATGAATTGTCTACCAAGTGCATATTACTTACAGCTTTTTTTCATTCATTTTTCCCCCTACTGCAGTTCATTTTTCATCACTCAGGACAGCAACACTGGGACTTTTTGGAGCGGCGACGGTTTCATTCGGGTTTTCAATTTTCACTAGAGATACATGATTACCAATGTCAGTATGAAGTGGCGCTTCACTCCTAGTTAATTTTAACGGAGATTTCACTTTTCCATCAATCACAGTCGAGTTTTTAACGCATCCCGTAACAGAACGTACTACACTAACACATTCTTCATTGTCAGTACTCGTGTTGTCAGCGCAACCACCGTCAGCTTCTTCAACTTCAAAGAGAGGCGAGTAGCTGAAGCGCTCCACATAATGTTAAATTCCTCTGCTCTCAATAGGAAAGAACACCTGAATATTCATCCAACATGGACTGCTTATCCATACAACTACGTTTGATCTCATCTATTATGCACACAATCTACACAGGCGCACAATCTAAACCCACTGCTTCATATTCCAAATCCGTACATTTTTCATACCTACATTCTGACATACAAATTAATACAGTGATAGGTCATACAAATCCACTTTGACAAAGAATAACTAGACATTGACATTGATATATTCTGACCTATTGTGATTTTAATTGTACGGAAAACTTTCTGCATTGTTCTCTTTTGTACTATTCAAACTTGTGGTAATTAATTCGGTTGTTTGTTTACTGTGAAGAAGTGACTTACACTAAGTGACGAAACTTTAGAAATACAGTTTTTTTACTCACCGGGTTGTAACGAAAAGTATATTTATTATTAACTTTCCACTCAATGCTCAACTTATTTGAAACTATTAAGTCCAATCATGGTATGGATACGTTTAAGATATTTTTTTTGTATCCAAAGTAGATTAAATTAACGGTAACTTCCAGAAATTGTTTATAGACGGTTATAATATAAATATTCTTATTTTATAAATTTTAAGTAACTAGATTATATGTAATAATTGAATTCATGAGTCAATTGAAGCTAAACCATCATAGAAAACCTGGAAGCAGTGTTGTGGGATAGTAACTCACTTGAGACAATAGTGGACGGTAGCGCAAACTGGCAGATTGTTTGAAGTTAGATATAAACACCGTTGGATGCCGGCTTAGCGGTCTGTAGGTTAAGCGTCCGCGCGCAAGACTGATAGGCCCTGGGTTGGAATCCCTCGGGACAGGATCGTTGATCTGTATTGCTGAGTCGTCATATGCTAGGAAGAAACAGCCGACCAGTGCCTCCAGGTTTTCCATGGTGGTCTAGATTCAATTGGCTCAAGAATTCAATTACCAAATTAGTACAATCTCTACAAAACCCCTCTGATTAGACTATATATATTTATATTCCTCTTATTATAAGCCTTTATTTGAACTACTAACCACTAATATCAGACTTGTTATCCTTAATTTTATCCCAATCTATTAGTTACGGTCTCTTGAACTTACAATCACTTTTAGTTTGACCTTGTGAAATCCATTTTTATAGTCTTATGGTTTGATGCGGTTTGGTCTGCATGTAAGTGAAACACGTACGTCTGAAATATGTCGTTCATACAGTGGAGTCGGATGTTGTGTTCTGAACTCAGCGGGTTGGGTTAGACGAGTAGTTTCTATAGCGAGGACCAATAAAGATTCAAAATTGACTCAAGGCTGCTAGTGCTAGTTGATGTGTCATTGGTTCAGCACAGAGCAGGGTCACAGAATTCGATATTCTTGTCAGAGGGTTTGCAAGAGAATAATTAACAGAGGCATAAATCATTACGATTTTTGTGTGTGATTATAGTTGTACAGGTAATAGCGTACGACTCAAATTGTGAGGATTAATATAAAGCCATTCTATGAAAGTAACTCAATCTTCACTTTGTGTTCCAAGCTACACCATAATCTTCAATTAATATGATTTTCCAATAGTTCCAGCAGTTATGTTATATATCTATCACTAGAATTCGGTCGCTTTAAATATTTATTACTTTATGGCTACTTCAATGATTAGTAACCGCAGGGTATTTAATTGATGTATTACATCCCATGAAAAAAAATGAGTGAACTTCCTAATTATAAATAACGAAGTTTGGTCGTAAGTTCACCATTTAAAGTCACTATTTACATGTTTTTAGTTCAGGCTGTAGAATAACAATTTTTAATAATCTGAATAAAGTTGAATACATTCAGGTTTCACTGTCGACCACCTCTAACCACCATCTCATCTCAACATAGTGCGTACAATGTTGAGTCACCTATACTAGTGGCCTCATTGCAACTTGTTCGATAGAATTAAATCTGAAGTAAGAAGGACCTGACCTACATGACTGTTATGAATGAAAACGTAGGTGGAGATGACCAAATCAAATTTTCTACACAACCTTACAAAGTCCTTGTCAAATTCTAAAATCAACACAATGAATATTTCATTTGCAAATTTACATTATTTTTCATTTGCATTCTGTATGTTTCTTCCAATTCACAATTCCTTTCTATTTCCGTTTCTGTTCTCTTCAACTCTATCTTCTTAATCTTCTGTTGTCAGGTTTCCCACTTCCGATTGATAGAACATACTACTTATAACGACAGACATAAGTAGCGTACACTACACTACTGCTCATTTACTCAGAATTTGTATTAACTAAAATTATCATCTCTATAACTAGGGCTTCAAATGTTCAAGTATACCTATTGACTTCACTAGAAAATTTCAAGGCAATAGTAGTAACTAAAAAAACCAACACAAGAAATTCAACATAGATGGTTAACAACTTATTAATTGGTAAGATACCGATATACCCAATGGACTAAATCTTTGACTGCAGATTTAAACGTATCTTTTCGAACATAGTAGTATGCCTAGAATGAATAAAGTATAAGGAATAATAATAACACCGGTAACCACGACCCGCATTGCTGACTAGTGTAGGGGCTGGTTGAAAGAAAGTTAGGAGCGGTTATACCAAAACGTGGCATCAGTCCACAAAGTTACTTACTTCTAGTCTGAGCCATGTTGGTAGATGCAAACGTGTTTGTTGGGGTCCACGTGACTATCGCAGCCAATGGTTGGAGAACCTGGGTGACGGCTCAGAATCCATCACAATGGTGTAGGTGTATACACTCTTTGTCTTCCTTTAAACTATGAGAATAAAATCACTTCATAACTTTCTTTCTACCCACTAATTCTTTCTTCCTGTACTATATACTGATATGCAATCCTTCTTTTATACATTACCACCATTGAATTAACTACTTCTATAAATTCGGTGTCCATCTTCTTGTACTAATGAGGTAAGGCAGCTTGGACCGATGCACATATGTGCCTGGTTCCACGTTGTAGCTGACTGACTAACTGAGAGTATTATGAAATATCATTACTGGATCCAAAATAGTATATTCACATACATTTTATATTGCATTATTGTTGTTCAATAATAAATATAATAAGAAATTTTACAATTATGTGCAATTAAGTTGTACGGTGCTATTAATTTTCAAAGCGGATGTATTAGGTCTTTCCCTAAAAAATACAAAACATTTAACTAGAATGTTTTTCGAATATTTTCAAGGTTGAAAATTTAATTAAGAACACCATATTTTGTAAATTCAGAGAGAGATTATTATTTATGGTTGAACCAATCAGGTATAAGAGGTCTTAGATTTTGGCGCGAAATTCATTCTTTCATTTGATTAAATAGTTTTGGTAGTATAGATGTCAGTTCGTGATGAAAATCCAAAATCTAATTTTTAACTTTGACCATTAACTGTAAATCATAATTCTAATTCCTCACACAGGTTTATAACTCCCATTTGGTCCTAGTTATTAGGTGGACACTCTCAAGGTCAGCCTGGCGTCGTTCAAATGTCATCCATAAATCATAGTCTTACCAGTAAATGAAACAACCATCATATCATATTGTAGTTGGAAAATTTGCCATTTTTAACCGAATTAGGAACCAGAATATTGTCAGATTAATAGCAACAGGAATTCGGAAGACTCAGTCTCGCACATTGTGCGAGTATTCCATGTACCTGATGTGTGGGCGAGAATGATGATGATTGGTTGTTTGCTTAGTCAGACAAGTAGATATTCTGACAGGTGTCAGGTGAGTTATATATTCCCTTATCCTTATTATCATTACTCACTTATTATTGATTGTTCATTATTGTTGGATTGTGTCGGGTTTTTGGTGTGGAAATATATTTACATTGTGGTCAGGCTAATCACGTGTTCTTGATCTGAGTTGTGTTAACGTCCTATAGAATAGACATTGGCAAGGAATCTAGTGTAGATATTCGTCTAAGTTAAATTAACGTCTCATACGTGTAAACGTGTAAACCCAACCGTCACAACATTAGACGAAGTATAACTGAGTGTTATAACAGTACCTAAATTAATGGTTGCTATGGTTGTAAGTGTATATCTTGTTAGAATGATCATAGGCCTCGCCTATTTACGGATTATTAACTTGTTCATTAGTATCTGTGTTTGTTTGTTTTTCATATTTTCCATCAATATCTAATCATTATAATTTGTTTTCAATTACATTACATTGTTGCGAAATTGTAATCTTACATCCTACTGTTATGTGACAAAGTAATTTAGCCTATAAGACTAAGAAATAGTAATATTTAGATCTTAGATTAACAAATAATATTCCATTTAGTGTACATTATAATGATGTATTTGTAATAAACCAATCAACTCACCATTGTGATCTAATCTTGATGACTCAAATGTTTTTGACGGATTTTTATTTAAGACAGTCACAAAGATTTACAATAAAATGTATTGATACATATTCAGCTATAATATAGGAGAATAACATAAGTGATTTATTTTTAGTTGAGATCATGAATCGATTGGTGTTAGATTACCATTGAAAACCTGAAAGCACTGGATTGGCATTTCTTTCTAGTATAGTACTCTTCAGCAGCGCGCATCCACAATCTCAATCGCGGGATTCGTACCCAGGGCATTCGGTCTCGCGCGCGAGCACATAACCTCTAGATCAGTGGGTCGACATCCGTTGATGTCAATGTCTAACTTCAATCAATCAAAAAAATTGCGCGGCCACCTTCCATTGTACTGAGGTAGATACTTGTCTCTACCGGACATGGATTGGCTTTACTGATGACGGCTTCTCACTAGAACTCCGAGAATTTTCACACGAAGCTAGTTACTAGTGAGCACATGGTATTCATCAGTATAGAATTGTGGAGATTACTGAGTTTTTGATTGAGATCATGAACCGATTGATGTTATCATTTTTTATACTTTATACATACACATAATAAACGTACCCTGCAAAACCTGTTAACATTAGGACATAAGATTTTCCCATTAAGTCTCGATTCTCCATCAGATACATTAAAACGTACTGGCTCATCTTTCCTGGTACAATTCACAGTTGAATCTTTAAAGAATAAACCAAGCGTTCCATCATTAAAACACTTGTACTAAATAAAAAAGAAATACGATTTTGTGAAATAATTTGGGAATAAATTGATATGAAAATACAATGAAGCAGGATATGTTAAAGATACGAACAAAAGTTGTGGATTTAAAATATAAAGATATAGCTGATTTTGGTGGAGTTTTGTTCTCTGAAGTTTGTGCTGATGATGTCGTTCAGAAGAACGATGAAAGCTCCACCACCAGACCATCCAGCTCAGAGAACAAAACTCCACCAAAATCATCCACCTGAGCTACAAATCTTCTCCAGTATCTCAGATATAGCTGATATATTGCAACGCGAATAATGGTTGGTTACTGTTGGGATCCATTTATAGACAAATCCTATACACATATTTTTATCGTATAATTGTTAAGCAACTAAATTACTCATATTCTTGTTCCTCTTATGATTAGAGCTATTTTGACCCATAGACTATTATTATACGATTTACTGTTCTTGAGTTGTGCCCAATCTATTCATTACAGTCTCCCTCATTCACAGTCACTTTTAACTTGGTCTTATACAAATGTTATTTCCAATTTCATGGTACCATGTGATCTGTTTGATTGGTATATGAGCCCAGTATGTTTGAAATACATAATTCATGTTGCAGAGGCTGAGATGGGTATTCTGAACTTAATAGGCAAGGATAGGCAGAAAGAAGGACTGATAAAAACTCTAGACTGCTAGTACGGGTTAAGGCATCCGGTCTTTAAGGTTCGAGGCCATAACCTATAACAGTAGCATACATTTTCAATCACAAAACTAGAAACTGTTAATATATATAATTTCTAGACATTACAACATAAATGTAAAGACAATATTCAAGGTGCATATCATTTGAAGAAAGACTTCGCAGATAAGAAAGTAGTCCCTGAATTTTCTGAAGTAAAATAATGTTCAATCTCGAAAGAACACATATTCCAGATAACTTGAATGATTATTAAGCTGTGTTACAAATTAATCTTGCATCAAATCTATGAGGTGTCGTTAGTAGTCCACACTGTGAAGATCAAATTCAAGACAAAGTTGTTCTGTTTTACATGATTTTCTACTTTTCTTTCAGTAATGCAAACTATCTAACATGAACTGATATTACTCAAAAGTTATCAGACGTTTAAATCATCTTGAAAGTTTGGTTTTATCTTTAAAAACTCAATAGATAACAGAAATATAAAAAAGAACAAAACTGTACCTTATGACAACTTCCTTTCAAATATGTCCCTAAAGTGTATTCATGTTTGTGGGTGTAATTCCAAACACCTCGATGTTCAACACAAATTCCATTTAGTCCATATGTTTGATAATATAGGTTAACGCCTATACCTAATATAGATGATGAGTTTTAAATAACTGATTAATTATTTCTTATCCATTCAGAACGACTAGCTAAATACACAGATAGATCGACGATGTAAATATCTGATTAGGAAAAAGGAAACAAATTCACTTGATATTGTTTACTTGAATCTTCCCAGTTGGTATTTAGAACTGCAATTGTTCAGTCTCTTATTGGTATATGTGCATCCTGTGCGTATTGCCTCGATATTGCCTTAATTCACAAGAATTATAAGCAAACGTGAAGTTATATCTCGAAATGAAAGCTTTAATTAATGCCATGCTATTACATACATTATCTAGTTACTGAATGGACAGAAAAACCCTAGGCACAAATCATTCAAATTGATCCAATTTTCTTTGTTTGTAATGCTTGTGAATTAAGGCTATATCTAGGCAATACGCACAGGATGGACATATGCCAATAATAGACTGATCAATTGCAGTCCTAAACATCAATGGGAACATTCATACAACCGGTACAAAGATGAATTAAACTTCACTCCATTGTACAAGCTAGTGGCCATCTCGACTCAGTAGCTAAGTACATAACGCGATGGCGTTTGAAGTCAACGGTAATGGGTCCAAGTCCCAGAATGATCATCAAATCTGAGCTACAGGTGCATCCAACTGACGAGTCCGGAATAGAACGAAACGTGGATCGAGGATTCCACTATTAATCACTATACATCCTTGCTTATAATATTAGGAAACATCTGTTTCTCATGGTTATTTAACTGTCGTATATTTTCTACATTTTACGAAACAATTTTAGAATTCTAATAAAGAGCATTGAATGTTTAGCAAAATCATACATAAGCCATTATAGATTTGTGAAATACACCTAGAGTTTACTTTGCGTCCATGATGTAATGGTATCTTTGCTATTGAAAATACCATACAGTTTCAAATTCTAAGTATAATACAATAAGTAAGTGAAATTTTCCATTCTAAAACCGATCCAAGTTGATTATTTAATCAATAAAAAGTACAATCAGCAAACAAACATTAGCGAATCGCCTTAACTATTCTTCTCATGTAAAATATTTGATGGGCTAACTATATTTGTGAATAAAGCCTAAAACGCTGTTCTAACCAGTCTACTCGAAATTCTTCACTACATGTGTTCTTTGAATAGGTGATTCGATACATAATCATCTTATGAGAATTAAGTCAATTGTATTCACAGAATACTTGATTTGTAATTGAGTAATTCAATGATAGGTTAACGAAGAAGTAAATTGAATAATGGCTAGTAGTGAAATCCAAGACATGCGGTTCGTCCTATTCGTCAGTTGGATGTACCTGTATCTTAGAGTTGATGTTCATTCTGGGACTCAATATCGATATTGTGGCAGTCCGCACAGGACGCACATATCCCAACAAGAGACTGATTAATTGCAGTCCTAAATAACAATGAGACGATACAAGTAAACATCGTCAAGTAAAGGAAGTGAAATAATTAAATCTCAACTGAATGATTTTTAATAAATTTCCACGTCAAACGTATAAAATACCTAACTTGATAACTTATCGATATGAGACTATAATTTATGGACGATCATTGAGTAATGCTAAAGTGACCTTCAGAATATTCACCTACTTACTAGAGCTAAATGAGGGTTATAAACCTGTGAGAAGAATAAAGATTATAATTTTTATTTGATGGTCAGAGTTAGGAATTAGATTTAAGGTAATTCACTACGAACTGACATAAGTTAAGATGCCAGGACTCTAGTTACTCAAATGGATGAATGAATTTCGTGCCGAAATCCAAGACCTCTTATATTAAATCTGATTGACTCGTTCATAATTTATAGTCTCTTTCTTATTGATGAAAGTATGCTTTTGAGCTAAACGTATACTATACTATACAGAAAAAAATAAAATGCTTACGTGATAATTTCTCATTCTCCTGATGTGTACAGAATGATGTAGCTGAATATTCACTGCCCAAACCTTTAACATACTACAAATGTGGGAGAGTAAGGTTAGTCCAATATAATACATCATTATTATGAGAAGATATTTTCTTACAAAAATGGCGAGACTATAATTTATGGACGACCTTTGAAAGAATCTTGTATGAGCTTGAGAAATATTAGCCATTTTTAATATTTGAGATCACGAGTCAATTGAAGCTAGACCAACATGGAATACCTAGAGGCAGTGGACGGCCGTTTCGTCTTAGTATGGGACTCCTCATCTGTGCTCATCCACAATCTCACTTCGCGTGATTCAAATTCAGTACCTATCAGTCTCGCGCGCTAGCGCCTAACCATTAAACCACTGGGCCGACATCCAACGTGGTCGCGGATGCACACTGCTGAGGAGTCCTACAGTAGGACAAAACAGTCGTCTAGTGCTTCCAGGTTTCCATGGTGGTCTAGCTTCAACTGACTCATGTCTCAACTATTCAAATTACTATAATATCCACAAAACCCCTTCAAATATTAGCCAATTAGAAAACAGTAGTATAGAGTAAAAATATATTATACAAAACCAAAGAATTAAAGTGGTTACATTTCTTTTACATGGTTCAAAAACTTGTCAAAATTAGAAATAGGTTCACAGATTCTGAACTTGTAATGAATACAGTAGAGGAAATCATCCATATGGTTCCATTTTAGTCGGCCTCTGAAGCCATGATAAATACGCGAAAACTCTTTCAGCCTCGATCACATCGCTTCAATATTGTTTGTGTGCATTCCGGTTGTTGGATCCACAAAATGCCACTTATGGATAACGACACGATGCACATAAACAAGTTTCTGTAGGTGTCTGTACGCTCTTCAATCATCCGTTTATATTGTAGTACTCTGTAGCAGCCAGCGTTACTGGTGCTCTTATTATCCAGTTCTCAACGACTGTCGTAATTTCCCTTACTCTCGATCTGCATAGAGCGAAAAAAATCCTATCACGTTTTCTCTAAAATCCATTGTGAATCGATCTTACTTGTGTATCAGGTACTGAAATTGCCACCATGACCTCGAAATTCCTGAATCGCCTCTAATTGTCTCGTCTATAAATTATAGTCTTGCCAAGTAATTTTAAGTAGTACTGAACAATTGAAACTATTTTAACTGTTACTTATTCAAAACAACCATTTGTAATTTTCTATGTTAAAACAGTATCATTTCCCACATGTTAACTAATATAAGCTTCACCATATATCTCATTAAAAGTACTTGTTATTGATATAAATATAATTATGTAGTGGCTTTGTTTCGTTAATCAATCACCCTCGATAACCATCATTATATAAATTTCAACGGTGTTTGAAATTAGAAGGCAATAAGAAGCAGCAACTACAGTGTATTAGCGGATAGCACAGATCACAAAGTTATAAGCACATCAAGCAAATTTGAAGCAGAGAGGCGTATATGTGTATGCGTGCAATTACATAGGCAAATTTATAGTCAAGTTGCATAAAGGCACAGCAAGACAAACCAAAAGCTAATAATCGGATTCCAGTACATAAATACATAGGGATCGGAATGAATCATCGGATGATATTTAAGCAATCAACATTTTAGCTCGAGTCTGTTATGTTACCTAGTGATCATAACAGTACAAAGAAATATGCTAATAGTTACTGTTCAAATAAGATTGTCCGTTAAGTAAATTAATAATAGGGTTTAGCCAAAGTGAACCATAATCGAAATTTGTTGGCGTTTGAAGCGAACAGTATTGGGTTCGAGTCCCAGAGTGGACATCAAATCTGAGATTCAGGTACATCTTACTGACAAGTCGCGAACAGGACAAAATGCGCGTCCTGGATTCCACTGATTTCCACTATTCATCTTTGCTTATAATGCTTGTTGTAGGATAGTTTCTATATTTATATCATTTCAGATTATTTCACAGTAATAGTGAAAATATCTTTTTATCTAAATATGGTTTATTATAAAACCTAAATATCTTCAATCATTGTATTCATGACTCCATTGAAGCTAGACCACTATTGAAAACCTGATAGGATTGGACAGCAGTTTTGTCCTTGTATGGGAGCATTAATTGATAATATCACACATTACCGACGATGGTAATTCATGTTTTCGTCACAGATTCATACATGAAAGTCGGTACAGGCGAATATATTTTAAATTATAAATAGTTAATTTCTGATTATGGTCAGGAATGAAAAATGATTATAGAAGTTGACCGAGAACCCTAAGTCATAATATTAAACGTTATAAGGTGAAATATTAACAAGAATGTGGAGCAATCAACTTACAGCCATTGTTGGACAATAGTCTGTAAATGGATCATTCCCACCGAAATATTCAGGAGGATATTCAGTGTCAAATGGGGCTTTTAGGAAGAACCGATCTTCTTTAGGAACTGGGGTTCCATACCTCACAATAATACATCTTCCATATGAGAATGCATCCCGACATCTTGCTTCATTAACAGTGTCACAGAATGGGATAAATTTCCTGTGGCTTAACGAAGAAAACAATCAATTAGTAATTTCATTTTTCTTCATGTATATTTATTCAAAACAATTTACTATGCCATCAACAAACAAAGTATTATGTTTGAAGTTAAATATCAACAGTAAACAGTTAGACAATTTCATTATGCAATGTTTGAAGTGATTACAAGTTTACTTAGTCTGAGAACGAAACAAGGACTCTGTGACCAAAGACCAATAAGTTAGCTATTCTGATGCGTCACAGCCCCGTTAACTAGAGAGAGAACTTCATTTTCGATACAGAGGAACATACTCCGCAAGCACCCAGAAGCACGAGAAATAATAACAGGTAAAAATCAAACACATATATACAGCAATGAATTGTCCTTAGGAAGCGTTACAAAATTGCATGCTAAAAGATACAACGAACCAACAGTGTTTAAGATTCTCCCAAGTGGGAAATACAACCCGACAGTGAAAATGAGCGCCTTTGGTACGAAAACAAGAAATCCAAAATTTTAAAATAAAATTACAAAAATAAGGTATTTACCAAATGAGTTCTGGGGATCTAACATCCCCAACACATTAGGTAGTTCATCTTTGAAGTTCTATTTCTACTTGATGGTATATTGAAAGGTAAGAATTTTTGATAAATTGATAGACATCTAATATAATCAAATATATATATATATATATATATATATATATATATATATATATATATATATATATATATATATTGAAGAATGGATCTGAACTAATGAATTACCACTTGCGATCGCATTGTGTAACTTTGAATTACTTGATTTAGTAATTATCACATGGCAAACAAGGGCTGTAGTCCTACAATTAAAGAATATATGCAACTCAAAACAACTGTCTGTCAATAATATCAAAGTCACAATCTTCAATTAGAACGTCAAAACAGTCAGTTCTACTGTACGGAGGTGAAACTTGGAGAACTAAGACAGTCATCATCAAGAAGGTACAAGTATCTATAAATAGTTGTCTACACAAGATACTCAACATCCGACATTGGCCGGATCTCATCAGCGACAGCCTACTGCCGGAAAGAACAAACCGGCTTCCAGCTGAAGAAGAAATTAGGAAAAGACATTAGAAATGGATAGGACATACATTATGGAAATCATCAAACTGCATCACGAGGCAAGCTCTCACTTGGAATCGTTAAGGGAAGTGGAAAAGAGGAAAACCAAAGAACACAATACGTCGGGAAATAGAAATAGGTATGTAAAGGATGAATAACAACTGGAAAGAAGTGTAAAGGATTGTTTGGAACAGAGTTAGATGAAGAGTGTTGGTGGTTGGCCTATTCTCCTTTACGAGGAGTAACAGGCGTAAGTAAGTAAGTAACATATATTTTGTCGATTAGACATATGAAGGTACTGAATAAAGAATAATATTATAAACTCATAATTGAAATGACAATTGACTCACTGTTGTCGTCTAATTTGAGCATAGTCGAAGCAACTTTTCATGCTAAAGTCACATCCTAATTGTCTACCATATTCCCATTTCATCGCTTTTGAGTAATCAACAGTGTACCAACTTGAAAATGACATAAAAGAATTTATAAAGTCAAATTCCACATCATTAACGAATGAATAATAATAATGAAAGTTAGTACAGAATACACCAGACGGTGATATAATTAATACAAACTACTAAGTAAAGATGATAGTTAATTTATAGTTTACTTTTTGGATGAAAAGTGCTGGTGGGAGGCCTACGCTCCACGAGGAGTAACAGGCATAACTAAGTAAGTGAGTAAGTAAGTATAGTTTATTGTAACTGAAAAGGATTGATTACCAGATAAATTCAAAATGAGTGTTTTAGACAAGTGTAATAAAAAAGAAAAAGTGAAGAACAACGAACGTGATGAAGTGTATATAGTTTTGAGAAGAGTGGTATTGCATAACAAAATTTGAGGTTTTATAACAAAGATAGTTTTATTAAGGATAAACCTGTCATTTGTTGACATGGTTAAAGTATATGCAAAACTATTGTGGGTTTGATATGGCGGATGTGTCACTCAATTTAGTGGATTAGTTGAAGTTAGACATTAACACCGTTAGATGCCGACTGGCTCAGTGCCGAAGAGGTTAAGAGTACTTGCGCGAGATTAATAAGTCTTGGGTTCGAATCCCGCGGGAGGGAGTCATGGGTAAGCATTGCTGAGAAGTCCCGTAATGGGAAGGGTTGGCCTCCCAAAGTTCCCAGGCTTTCGATGGTGGTTTAGCTTCAATTGACCCATGATCTCAACTATTGAAATTACTACAATCTCCAGAAAACCCCTTTCTGATATGAATGAATCATTTAATGTATTTTGGTTTGGAAAATATTTTATATTCGCTTGATGAGAAATATGAAACGGAGTTCAGAAACCTTCAGTCTGTTCAGTCATTTCCATCATGTCTCTGAGCCAATGTTGGCGTTTACGACAGTGTTCTATCCCGACGAGAATAATGAATGGTAACTGTTGGGATCCATTTATAGACAAATCATACACGCATATTTTTATCGTATAATTGTTAAGTAACTAAATTACTCATATTCTTGTTCCTCTTATGATTAGAGCTATTTTGACCCATAGACTATTATTATACGATTTACTGTTCTTGAGTTGTGCCCAATCTATTCATTACAGTCTCCCTCATTCACAGTCACTTTTAACTTGGTCTTATACAAATGTTATTTCCAACTTCATGGTACAATGTGGCCTGTTTGATTGGTATATAAACTCAGTGTGTTTGAAATACATGATTCATATTGCAGAGGCTGAGATTGGTGTTCTGGACTTAACCTGCAGGGCTAAGCAGGGAGAAGGATGGATAAAGACTGTAAAGTCCTCGTAACTGTTCTATGCGTCATTAGTCTGGTCGATTAATCACTGTTCTTTAATTGGCGGTATCATTACGTCACATATTGATAGGGGCACAAGTCCACAAGTTATAACAGACAGAAGTAGGTTCATAGACTGTGCGATTCATTCAGTTTCTCAAAAAAATGTGTAGTAATGTAACAGTTACAGTAAAGATGGACCGTCCGTAACACTGCCTCTAATAATATCCTTCCAAAACCTGCAAACATAGGCTCGTGGAGTCCAGATTTCGAAATCGTTAACGAAACCAAATCTTTTATCAGAGATTCTGCATGACAATTGACATTATTCTTTTATATCCATCGTTGTAATAAAAAATAGGTAACTACTTTGTCTAACTTTGCTTACCCCGAATCCTCAAAGAAGCTAAGAGTAACACGCGATACAGAGTAATCAATTTGTATTCTTCCAGCCATTATTTCGCTCTGAAATCCAAGATGATAATAAACTACATAAACAATGAAGCAACTAACATTTATGTGTATACAAGAATACGGTTTTTTATGTTATATTATTCTCAGTAGTATTTACGTCCTAACCTTTACTGAACTATCATCAACAAAGTGTATACCCTACTACTAATAATAAATGAAAAAGCTGTGCTTACCGTACCGAAATGTGTTACTTTGTTCACATAAGTAATTAATGATGATTGCAGCTGGATCCAAGACCCGCATTTCGTTCTATTTAGGATTCCTCAACTGGAAAGAACATCAACTCTGGGATTCAGGTACATCCAGCTGACGAGTCCCAAATAGGACAAAATGTGCGTCACAACGTCACAAATAACTATCCTTCTTGACAAAAGTCTAATATTACGGTAATTGTTTAATATGTTGACTTTATTTGCTACTTAATTCCTTAACACTCTTAATTCAATGCAAATAATGTCAGAAATAGCAAAATATATTATTTTGACAGTTGTTTATCACACAATTAAAGAATGTATAAAATTCATATTAACAATTAAGTAAACTCACTGCATATGTTCTTCCCTCCCAATGCGATCCTATCGGTCCAGTTTGGTATTGATTTTCCAAATCTGCTCCATCTAACTGTTCACAATTGAAATGTTTTCTTGCAGCGTTCTAAATATTATAAGTATGTACAATTTGATTCTTTTTAATTAAATGAAGAGAAACCCAGAATAATTTTGTTTTTGATTTAGATCATGAATCGATTGATGTTAGACGTCTATTGAAAACCTGGAAGCACTAGATGGCCGTTTCGTCCTATTGTGGGACTCCTCAACAGTGTGCATCCACGATCATGCTCGTGGAGTCGAACCCAGAACCTTCGATTTCATGAGCGAACACTTAATCTCTAGGCCACTGATCTCAATAAAATAAAACTTAATAACTTCCACAACTCCATATTGATAATAATTTTTTTTGTTCTATTTCTAAATAATTAAATACAATAAAGTCAGTCTATGGATTCATACACTAAATAACAATAAATTCTTTTCTTTAAAAGACATAAACACTTTCACTGATAACCAACCAACACCAAGAAACACAAAACACTTGTTTCTTCTTAACATATGGTTACATACAAGTAGACACAAATTAAACGTAGATGCGCACTGTTGAGGAGTCCCAAAATGGGACGAGTTGGCTGTCCAGAGCTTCCAGGTTTTCAATGTTGGTCTAGCTTTAATTGACTCATGAACTCAACTATTAAATTACTATAATATCCACAAAACCCCTTCTTGATAATCCATATATGATTAGTTTAAGAGTTTTCATTCAGAAAGATGATATAATTTCAGTGGTTGAGATTATGAGTCAATTGAAGTTAGACCACCACAGAAAATCTTGAAGCAGTGGACGGCCGTTTTGTCCTACTATGAGACTCCTCATCACTGCTCATGCACGATCCCACCTCACGAGAATCGAACCCAGGACCTATCAGTTAAGATAGTGTACATCGGACGATGAGAAAAATTTCTTTTCGTTCGAGGTGGATTATTGAATTTCTATCTAACATTTTCTTGATTATAAAATGATAATAATTGCATAAAAGACTTAACTAACCAGGATTCTAGGAGTAACGAAAGCATAAAAGTCTTTTGTAAACCATCCTGCTGCACTTCTCCATCTTCTTGTGATCTTTTGAATAGTGTTGATACTGTGAAGAAGACGTTCAAAATATCAAAAACTTGCAATATAAGCACATAAATTCTTTAAAAAATATTCCTTCGAAAGAAAGCCTGGTGATAACGCTACACAAAACAGTAGTTTTCAAGAATTATTCAAATAGATTTGTATGGTGAACTGTAAATGAAATATTAGGGTCATCATCTTAACTAATTGTTTATTTATTGATCGTAAATATTGGTACAAAGGCGCATCGAATATATATGCGCCACACAAGTCATTTGATTTGTGTGTGGGCTGGGATACTGCCCGGGTGCCCAAACCGAAGCAGATCGTTTTGTTAGGGGACCACATCCAGAGACTTCTATATAAAGGTCCAATCCACAAAGCAGTGGAGCAACTTCAGGAGATGCAGTCCCACGGTAGTTCGTGACCAACAATACGTTCATACGCCACTTGTTCCCTCTAGATCATGGAGTTCTTGTGCACCATTGGTTTAGAATTAGGGTTTTCCAACTCACCTCTGTGGATCTTCCATATCCACCAACCCGTTTAAAGTGCCAGACATTCGCTTTTTGTCCTCTCAACTTCATAAGCGACACTCCTGGTGCGAGAAAGCAGTGGGTAGGACTCCCCTGGCAGTGACTGTATACTCATGGTCATGTGAGGGCATTTCGAGGGAGAGAGAGCCGACTCTCCTCACTCTCGGTCGTACCAGGGCATTTTTGCGACTAATTATATATAACATATGATGTGTGAAATCTACCTTTAAAGATCAGTACAGAGCTTCTATTATTATTATATCAATACACAAGTAAATCAATCATACGCAAATGAAGAGTAACTTTGGGTTTAGAGTTTTGACTTTTTTTTTGACGCTGAGATACATCAGTTACAGATCTAACTTATGTGTTCACATGGTTAAGATTAGCCTATCTGTCAACGATTACTTGCATAGTATTGTTCATTCATCTAAATGAAGTTATCATTGCAATAAAAATATATATCTGAGTCAGCAGTCTGCTCTTTTGTTTCAAACCTAATAGTGAATTCCAGTCACATAATGATGCTGAAAACACTGTTGATAGGACATATTGTCTATGGCGATTTGAGAGAAGTGACTTTTTAAATACTAAACATGGTTTTAGACAATGACAGAGGTAAATTTTAGAAAATAATAGTCAATGAAATCTGTATAAAACTGAATTTGTAACTGATTTTATACCTTTATATATAAAACATCGTAATTTACTCAATGCAATAACAAATAGTACATTTCTATTTCTTCATTAGGTTTTTGATTGAGATCATGAACTGGTTAATGTTAGATCACTACTGAAAATCTAGAAGCGCTGGACGGCCACTTCGTTCTATTGTGGGACTCCTCGGCAGTGCGTATCCATGATCCCGCTCGCGGGGTTCCAACCTGGGGTCTTCGTCCTGAGCGCGAACATTTAATCTCTAAATCACTGAGCCGGCATACCGTGATGGTAATGTCTAACATCAATCAATCCACAAAACTGCACAGCCATCTTCCATTGTACTGAGGTAGATACCTGTCTCTACCCAACACGGAATAACTCCACTGGTCACAGCTTCTCACTAGAACTCCGAGAATTCACACACGAATCTAGTCACTAGTGAGTACATGGTAATTATCAGTATAGGGTTGTGGAGATTATTAGGTTTTTTTTAATTGAGATCATGAACTAATTGACGTTAAACCACCATTGAAAATTTGGAAGCACTGGACGGATGTGTACTGCTGAGGAGTCCCACAATAGAACGAAGTGGCGGACCAGTGATTCCAGGTTTTCAATGGTAGTCTGACATCAATCGGTTCATGATCTTAATCAAAAACTTAATAATCTCCACAATCCTATACTTATATTTCTGTATCAAAAGGTTTTCTAAGTTTCTATTGATTGAATATATAGAAACATGAAACTCTCACCTCGGAATATAATGTCCATATTTATCTTTGTGCTTTGGCTTATGTTTATCATCCCTGGGAGTTCGAGGTGTCCCATCTGGAAAGCGCATAAAAGGGAAGCTGTATGATGAAAATCCCTAAAATATAATAAATTTTAAAAATATTAAGTAATGACTATACGGAATCAGAATAGTATATATAAGCTTGTATTTACCTGCTCACACTTCAAACACCAACATGTCATCAATATTAACACTAGTTTCAGATAAATAATTGAATAACACTATAAAGAAATAACTAATTGACATTTTGTAAATGAAGTATTTACTGTATAGTTCTCAGATTTTACTAAGATGCTATTATATCCTAGTATGGGACTCCTCAGCTGTATAATGCTTCCAGGTTTTCTACCGTGGTCTAGCTTCAACTGACTCATGAATTCAACTATAAAATTAATAGGTAACTTAGGTCATGTTTACGTAGCTCTTAGTGTTGATCAAGTTTAATCGATTAGTTATCAGCGTGGTCGCTGGTCGAAAAGACTTTATATTCTATGCTTTTTTTCGATGGTTTGAGGTAATCAGGAGGTCATAATAGAAAAACTAAATATTAAGATATCTGTTGTTGCTAGATATATTTTGATAGAGTTTTGTTCTCTGAGCTGCATAATCGTTTGGTCGTGGAGATTTCATCGTTCTTCTGAACAATAGATGGAAGTCTGACTGAAGTTTGTGATGGTGATGTTGTTCAGAAGAACAATGAAAGTTTCACAACCAAACCATCCAACCCAGAGAATGAAACTTCATTAAAATCATCCATTTGAGCTAGAAATCTTCTTCACCATCTCAATATTAGATATATTTCGATATAATTGTTCAGTGATCTCAATGAATAGAAAAATACTCTTTATCTTATCAAAATAATAGATGAACTTACAAGTGCATGACCAATTTCATGTAGAAAAACTCCAATTGATATTCTATCCTCAGGATAATGGACTCCTATATTTCCTGGGCAAACATTTATAAATCCAAGAATTGGCCTAAAGTATTAAGTAGTATCAATATATGGATATAAAACAATGAATGAATTGTTCTCGATTAAAGTAACTAACTAAGTAGTTACATTACAATTTGATTTTGTAATCTAAATTTATCCAGTATTCCATTAAATATTTAGTTCCATAGACATTGTAGATAGTTGGGTAGTTGGTTTAGTGACATAATATCTTATGTAATTTAATCAATGAATGTTTCGTGTTACTGGAATTACAAAAAAAGATCATTCGTTCAAACCTATCTACTTTAGAGTTGACAATCTATTTACTTTCTTACGCCTGTTACTCCTCGTAAAGAAGAATAGGCCAACCACCAACACTCTCTATCCTACCCTGTTCCAAACAACCCTTCACACTTCTTTCCAGTTGTTATTCATCCTTTAAATATCTACTTCTGTTTCTCGACGTAATGTGTTCCTTGGTTTTCCTCTTTTTCACTTCCCTTCACGATTCCAAGTGAGTGCGTGCCTCGTGATGCAGTTCGATGATTTCCATGATGTATGTCCTATCCATTTCTAACGTGTTTTCCTAATTTACTCTTCTGCTGTAATCTGGTTTGTTCTCTGCTGCAGAAGGCTGTTGCTGATGGTATCCGGCTAATGTTGGATGTTGAGTATGTTGCATAGATAACTATTTATAAATACTTGTACATTCTTGATGATGGTTGTAGTGGTTCTCGAGGTTTCAGCTCTGTACAGTAGGACAGTCTTGATGTTGTAATTGAAGATTGTGACTTTGATATTATTGACAGACAATTGTTTTGAGTTGCATATATTCTTTGATTTTAAGATTAAGGCTCTTGCTTTTTCGTTTGTGTATGTTGTTGCCGACTGATGCAGAGGCTGCAGCTACACTAGTTGTCTTCATTTGCATTTGTTTGTGTGTATGGTGTGGGAGGGCCAATTTATCTGCGAAGTTCAAATCTTTTAATTGATTCTGAGCTGTCCATTGTATTCCGTGCTTCCCCTCAGATGTGAAGTCTTCATAATCAAGTCAACCACCAGAAGAAAGAGGAAAAGGGAGAGTAGACAGCCTTGTCTGACTCCGGTCCTTACTTGGAATGCATTTGTCGGCTGTCTTCCATGCATGACTTTGCACTGTAGTCCGTCGTATGAGTTCCGATAATGTTGATTATCTTCTCATGAACTCCATAGAGTCGAAGAAGTCTCCATAATGCTCTCCTATCCACAGTGTCAAACGCCTTCTCATAGTCAATGAAGTTGATGCATAGTGATGAGTTCCATTCAAATGATTGTCCGACGATGATCCGTAGCGTCGAAATTTGGTCTGTGTACGACCGATCCTTACAGAATCCAGCCTGTTGATCTTAAAGGTGGGTGTCCACTGAATCTTCCATTCGGTTCAGCAACACTCTGTTGAGAACTTTTCCTGGTACTGACAGTAGTGTGATGGCTCCGTAGTTCTCACATATACTCAGACCTTTCTTTGGTATATTGATGAGGTGTCTTTCTTTCCAGTCCGTCGGCACTTGTTCCTTCTCCCAAATCTTCTTGAATGGAACGCGAAGCATGTTTGCAGTTACTTCGATGTTTGACTTCAGTGCTTCAGCTGGTATATTGTCGGGTCCTGTTGCTTTCCCGCTCTTGATTATTCGGATTGCCATCCTGGTCGTTGGTAGAGTGACGTCTATAGGAAGGTCTGTGTGTTCTGGACAGAGATAAATCACTCGTAAACTAAATTCAAGGTTTAAAGAATGAATTGTACTAATTATCGATTTTAATTTAATGAACTTAAAGTGCTAATAACGTTTACAAACTTACTATTAGTGACTAATTCGACTTTCACGTGCGACAGTTTCATGGAAATAGTCTAACCTATTTCTTATTGCCCAGATGTTTACTTTTTCTTAGTTGCATCAAATTTAAAGTGTAGCTACTTATTGTTTAGAAATTTGGGACAGCGTAAGTTAAACTGCTTTATTTTATTCATATGTGTATTGATTGTTTCAGTGTTCTCGTTGACATTTAGGACTACAGTTCATCAGTCTCTTATTGGTATACGTTCATCATGTGCAGATTGTTCTGATGGTGCCTTAAGTCATTAAATTACAGTCTTAAATTTCCATGAGAAGATTCAAACAACCAATACAAAGATTAATTAAACTTCACCTCATTGTACTAGCTAGTAACTATCTGGAAACAGTAGCTAAGTGAATAACGTGATGGCGCTTAAAGCGAATTGTACTGGGTTTGAGTCCCAGAATGAACATCATCGAAGTGAAGCAGGTATATCCGACTGACGAGTCCTAGATAGGATGAAACGCGCATCCTGGATTTCACTGCTAACCATCATCCATCTCTGCTATATTTTATTACCAGTTAAGTAACTGTAAATATAATGCATGTCTATTTTGAACTTGTATTTCAAAACAGATTAAAAGAACAGCTACTGAATGGATAAAATTGGAAGGCAATTCCTTAACTTCCACAATATTGTCGTAAACATTTGATTTAAGAGTATTATAGTTAAAAACATTTGTCTTTGAATAAGTAATTTAGTCATTTTTCTTTCATCTAAAACAAGAATATGCTCTAATACACAAATCTAATTACCTATCTGTTTCCTCATCCATTAAACATGATGATGCGTATGCTGCTGCACCACCATAACAGGTAATTGTATTTATAGCATCAACAAATAGAACATAACCGTCAGATGGTATTCCACTTCCATTTCTGTAAGATCTATGTAATCGGTTATTTTTTAATTGATAACATTCCTGAAAGATAATCATGATAGAATAATTGAATCGTAATATTCTAAACACAAATAATAAAATATAGACCATTGAGATGATGGAGAAGATTTGTAGCTCAGGTGGATGATTTTGATGAAGTTTTGTCCTCTAAGCTGGATGTTTTGGTCGTGGAGCTCCAAGTAGAAGTTTGTGTTGATGATGTCATTCAGAAGGACGATGAAAGCTACATGACTAAACCATTGAGCTCAAAGAACAAAACTCCATCAAAATATACATCATTGTTTTACGAATTGAAATCTAGTTCAAGTAATGTCATTTCAACGTATATCGAGCTTGAATAACTTTTGAAGATGATTAGTTGATTTTCATCCAATTCTCTTTGAATAAATATATATAATCTTAAAGGGTGATGAAATAACCTAAACAGTTTTGTATCTAATCTCTGTTCAGGCCATCATAGCTGTTGTATGACAAAAGTCATACACCGAATTTTGAGAGAGTATTCACAATTATGATAATATTAATATACAAATCTATATTTGTTTCTAAAGAGACTACATTTCAATGTTGATTCTATAATTATCCCGGCTCAGTGATCTAGAAGATAAGCGTTCATGTGCAAGACCGAATGTTCTAGGTTCGAATACCGTGAGCGGAATCGTAGATGTGCACTGTTGAGTATTCTGTATTTCACATCTTCAATCACTTATAAGAAATGAATTAAAAATCTAATACACATCTCATTGTTGCATTTTAAATATCTACTATATTTATAACAGTAAAAATATTACACCTGTACTCATACTCACCCCTACATACTGATCTGGAATTTTCACCCCTCCGCACAGAACATCGCGTTTACACTTCGACTTATAACAGACTATGGAATTATTTGCAGTAACTGTGCGATAGTATCCACTTTCACAATACCTTGATGAAACAAAATAAGAATGTTGTTCAGTTAAGAATAAAAGAAATCCATCTATTAAGTTTTAATCTAGAATAGTGAATTACTTAAGTTACTTAACAATATACCTTCAAACATTGAAATGACAACAATGACAAGTGTGACAAGAGTGCTAATGATTATACATCAAAAAACAAGTAAGCTAACAGTACAATCACCTTTTCGCTAGTTGTTTTCCACTTCCAGATTTCTTGACTGTCAATACGTCTTCCCAATACTTTATTGCTACTTGTGCAAATTTCTGTAAAAATGTAAAATAAAACAAATAAATATTACATAATTAATTTTAATAATTGAGATCATGAGCTAATTGAAGCTAGAACATCATAGAAAACCTAGATGCACTGACGGTCGCTTTGCCCTATTGTAAAATTCCTCAACAGTGCTCATTCACGATCCCGCCTCGAGAGATTCCAACCCAGGACCTATCAGTCATACGCGCGAGTGCTTAATCTCTACACCATTGAGCTGGCCGGCATCCAATGACATTGATGACTTACTTCAGTCAATCCACGAAGTTCCATCACCATCCACCATTGTTATCAGTGAGTTACTTACTTACTTACTTACGCCTGTTACTCCTCGTGAAGGAGCATAGGCTGCTCACCAGCATTCTCCGTCCAAGCCTGTCCGAAACAATCCTTTCCAGATCCTTCCAGTTCCTATTCATCCTTTTCATATCTGCTTCTATTATCCGACGCAATGTGTTCTTTGGCCTTCCTCTTTTTCACTTCCCTTCACGATTCCAAGTTAGGGCTTGCCTCGTGATGCAGTTTGACGATTTGCGTAATGTATGTCCTATCCATTTCCATCGTCTTTTCCTAATTTCTTCTTCAGCTGGAAGTTGGTTTGTTCTCTCCCACAGAAGGCTATTGCTGATGGTATCCGGCCAATGGATGTTGAGTATCTTGCGTAGACAGCTATTTATAAATACTTGTACTTTCTTGATTGTGGTTGTTGTAGTTCTGCAAGTTTCAGCTCCATACAGTAGAATTGCCTTGACGTTCGTATTGAAGATTCTCACTTTGATATTGGTAGAAAGTTGTTTTGAGTTCCATATGTTCTTCAATTGTAGGAATGCTCTCCTTGCTTTGCCAACCTCGCCTTTACGTCTGCATCTGAACCTCCTTGTTCATCGATGATGCTTCCCAGGTATGTGAAGGATTCTACATCTTCCAGAGTTTCGCCATCAAGGGTGATTGGATTGCTGTTCTCCGCTTTGAATTTGAGGACCTTAGTTTTCCCTTTGTGTATACTGAGGCCTACTGATGCGGAGACTGCTGCTACACTGGCTGTTTTCATCTGCATCTGTTCGTGTGTACGTGATAGGAGGGCTAGGTCATCTGCGAAGTCCAAATCGTCTCATTGGTTCTGAGCTGTCCATTGTATTCCGTGTTTTCCTTCAGATGTTGAGGTCTTCATAATCCAGTCGACCACCAGAAGAAAGAGGAAGGGAGAGAGTAAACAGCCTTGTCTGACTCCGGTCCTTACTTGGAATGCACCTGTCAGCTGTCCTCCATGCACTACTTTGCACTGTAGTCCGTCGTATGAGTTCCGGATAATATTGACAATCTTCTTAGGAACTCCGTTACTATCTTACAACAGATCCGGTTGAACTCCACTAATCACTGCTTCTCACTAGAACTCCAGGAAATACCTCTTGAAGCCAGTCACTAGTGAGTATATGTTGATTAACATCAAAAGGGGTTTTTGTGAATATTATATTAATTTTAATAGTTGAGATCATGAGTCAATTGAAGATACAGTATCATGGAGAATCTGGAAGTACTGGATGACCGCTTCCTCCTACTCATTACTTCAACGAAAATCATATTAATCAAAACTTAAAACTGTTACAATTAAATCATTCATAGAAACAATGAAAAATATTAATGTACTGAGAAAAATGTTTATCATAAATAATATGAATTACCAAGAGTTTAACATAATGTTTCAATCTGCGGAAATTGAAAGTAAAATACGTATAAAACTTTAAATGTTTTGGCGCTGTATTCCGTCTCTCGACATCATCCGAATGTACAGCGACAGTATGATCCTAAAATTTCAATCAAATTCTCTAATAATATTGAATCTACCAATTTCACTAAAGGAGGTGAACCACAGAATGATGTCGAATTGACAATATGACATATGATCAAAATGAAAAACCATTTAATGAATAAATGAATAAGCATATCTGTTAAGTATGGTGGTAACTAACTTATGTCATATGTAAACCTATATATATACATGTTGTTGTCGTCTGAAGTTCAGAGACCAATCTAATGTCTCCGGTCTATCTTGTTTGTTTATTTTTCATTAATACTTTTAACAGCTTCGATGGAGATTCAAACCAATTCACACGAAAAAGAGAGAAAAGAAAAGAGAAAAGAAAAACGAAAGAAAGAATAATGTACGTTCGCTTTTTGTCTTAAATTCAAAGATTCTGGACAATTTGATTTCATTGGTGATTCTTTTAACTTGAATAAGTTTAACTTTGTTTCAAAACAAAATCTTCCCCCCCCCCATTGCGAAACATTTGACTGAGTCTGATCATAATGTTGATATTAAGTCAGTATTTGTAGTGTTGTACAAAAGTCTTCAAGGGCGTTGTAGTGTCGGTTATTATGTTAAGCCCATATAATTTATTCTGGCTTTCGGACAGGTCAATCAATTCATTCTACTTGAGTCACATTTTCACCTCGTTACTTATTCGCTTATCAATCTTGACTGTTTTTATATGAGCGCGTAGGTGTGTGTACACTTCTTATCCCATTTACTCATCACATGTCTGCAACCTATTTTTGTGTAACTATAAATATTGGTTAATGCTCGGTTAAATGGTAATTGGCTTACCCGCCATCTCCACTGTTCGTCGTTTCTATTCTCTCCATTCCATTCACTTCATATACAAAAAATATGTATTCAAAAGTTCATTCTCGTTATTTAACTTATCTAAATCCGTTATTGACCAACGCGATTAAAGTCGATGATTATACACGAGGGATAGGCGACATATATATTTCAACAACAATCATCATTACGATCTCCTGGAAGTCAGATCTCGAACCACTGAAGTGAAGAGCCCTTTCGACAACATCGTTCGATCTAAATGACGACAAAATAAAGGGCCGCACAGTGTATACTAAGGTTTATTGAAACCTTGGCTATGCGAAAATTGAAACCTCTTTTTTATATTCAAAAAAATTTGTTCTTACCCTTAACCTATCGTCGTAATACTGATTGATTATCCAGAGTGATTATCACATTGTTTTTGTGTACTTTATTATTTTGATTTCCTTTGTGACGGCTTACGTTTAACATGTTTAGTTGACCTTTTAATTGTCATATACAACATGTTTTAACAAGTACATTATATGTGATCAAATTGTTAGAAATGTACTACGCAAATGTATCATCACATAGTTCTGTTGATCTTCGTCTTCTCATTGCATTATCGAAATTTATCAAAGGCAATGCAACCGAGTCAGTTGTGAGATAGTAACTCACTGATGACAATGGTGGATGCGTCGCTCAATTTCGTGGATTAGTTGTAGTTAGACATTAAAACTGTTGGATGCGGGCTCAATGGTCTAAAGGTTATGACGAATCGGTTTTCAAGGTTTCCATGGTTCATGAAATCAACTATTAAATTACATTTTTTTAATGATTAGAACTTCTATTCCAAACAGATAGTTAACAAACAATTACATTTTCATAAATAATAGTTGACTGTCGAATTTTTCAGTACACTAAATAGTCAATTTACATACCACAACAATGTCAATACAAATGTCAAAACAGTTCTACTATATGTGGCAGAAACTTGGAAAAATTCGAAAACCATCATCCAGAAGATACAAGTGTTTATTAACAGCTTTCTACTCAAAATTCTTCGGATCCGTTGGTCAGACACTATCAACAACAATGTACTATGAGAGAGAACAAACCTGATCCCAGCGGAGGAAGTAGTGATGGCGAAGAGCTGGAAGTGGATAAGACATACATTGAGAAAAGTAGCCAACTGCGCCACAAGACAAGTCCTTAGTTGGAATTTTCAAGGCCAAAG